TTGGTGAGTAATTCACTTGGGGCCTTGACAATGTGTCTAGCTTAGTGGTCTAATCACCACACCGTGTTGTTGAGTGATTCACTTGGGGCCTTGACAATGTGTCTAGCTTAGTGGCCTAATCACCACACAGTGTTGTTGTTGTTGAGTGATTCACTTGGGGCCTTGACAATGTGTCTAGCTTAGTGGTCTAATCACCACACCTTGTTGTTGTTGAGTGATTCACTTGGGGCCTTGACAATGTGTCTAGCTTAGTGGTCTAATCACCACACCGTGGTGTTGTTGTTGAGTGATTCACTTGGGGCCTTGACAATGTGTCTAGCTTAGTGGTCTAATCACCACACAGTGTTGTTGTTGTTGAGTGATCCACTTGGGGCCTTGACAATGTGTCTAGCTTAGTGGTCTAATCACCACACCGTGGTGTTGTTGTTGTTGAGTGATTCACTTGGGGCCTTGACAATGTGACTAGCTTAGTAGTCTAATCACCACACCGTGTAGTTGTTGTTGAGTGATTCACTTGGGGCCTTGACAATGTGTCTAGCTTAGTGGTCTAATCACCACACCATGTTGTTGTTGAGTGATTCACTTGGGGCCTTGACAATGTGTCTAGCTTAGTGGTCTAATCACCACACCGTGTTGTTGAGTGATTCACTTGGGGCCTTGACAATGTGTCTAGCTTAGTGGTCTAATCACCACACAGTGTTGTTGTTGTTGAGTGATTCACTTGGGGCCTTGACAATGTGTCTAGCTTAGTGGTCTAATCACCACACCGTGTTGTTGTTGTTGTTGAGTGATTCACTTGGGGCCTTGACAATGTGTCTAGCTTAGTGGTCTAATCACCACACTGTGTAGTTGTTGTTGAGTGATTCACTTGGGGCCTTGACAATGTGTCTAGCTTAGTGGTCTAATCACCACACCATGTTGTTGTTGAGTGATTCACTTGTGGCCTTGACAATGTGTCTAGATTAGTGGTCTAATCACCACACTGTGTTGTTGTTGTTGAGTGATTCACTTGGGACCTTGACAATGTGTCTAGCTTAGTGGTCTAATCACCACACCATGGTGTTGTTGTTGTTGAGTGATTCACTTGGGGCCTTGACAATGTGTCTAGCTTAGTGGTCTAATCACCACACCGTGTTGTTTTGTTGTTGTTGAGTGATTCACTTGGGGCCTTGACAATGTGTCTAGCTTAGTGGTCTAATCACCACACCGTGGTGTTGTTGTTGTTGTTGAGTGATTCACTTGGGGCCTTGACAATGTGTCTAGCTTAGTGGTCTAATCACCAGACCGTGTTGTTGTTGTTGATTGATTCACTTGGGGCCTTGACAATGCGTCTAGCTTAGTGGTCTAATCACCACACCGTGGTGTTCTTGTTGTTGTTGAGTGATTCACTTGGGGCCTTGACAATGTGTCTAGCTTAGTGGTCTAATCACCACACCGTGGTGTTGTTGTTGAGTGATTCACTTGGGGCCTTGACAATGTGTCTAGCTTAGTGGTCTAATCACCACACCGTGTTGTTTTGTTGTTGTTGAGTGATTCACTTGGGGCCTTGACAATGCGTCTAGCTTAGTGGTCTAATCACCACACCTTGGTGTTGTTGTTGTTGAGTGATTCACTAGGGGCCTTGACAATGCGTCTAGCTTAGTGGTCTAATCACCACACCTTGGTGTTGTTGTTGAGTGATTCACTTGGGGCCTTGACAATGTGTCTAGCTTAGTGGTCTAATCACCACACCTTGGTGTTGTTGTTGTTGAGTGATTCACTTGGGGCCTTGACAATGTGTCTAGCTTAGTGGTCTAATCACCACACCTTGGTGTTGTTGTTGTTGAGTGATTCACTTGGGGCCTTGACAATGTGTCTAGCTTAGTGGTCTAATCACCACACAGTGTTGTTGTTGTTGTTGAGTGATTCACTTGGGGCCTTGACAATGTGTCTAGCTTAGTGGTCTAATCACCACACAGTGTTGTTGTTGTTGTTGAGTGATTCACTTGGGGCCTTGACAATGCGTCTAGCTTAGTGGTCTAATCACCACACCGTGGTGTTGTTGTTATTGGTGAGTAATTCACTTGGGGCCTTGACAATGTGTCTAGCTTAGTGGTCTAATCACCACACCGTGTTGTTGAGTGATTCACTTGGGGCCTTGACAATGTGTCTAGCTTAGTGGCCTAATCACCACACAGTGTTGTTGTTGTTGAGTGATTCACTTGGGGCCTTGACAATGTGTCTAGCTTAGTGGTCTAATCACCACACCTTGTTGTTGTTGAGTGATTCACTTGGGGCCTTGACAATGTGTCTAGCTTAGTGGTCTAATCACCACACCGTGGTGTTGTTGTTGAGTGATTCACTTGGGGCCTTGACAATGTGTCTAGCTTAGTGGTCTAATCACCACACAGTGTTGTTGTTGTTGAGTGATCCACTTGGGGCCTTGACAATGTGTCTAGCTTAGTGGTCTAATCACCACACCGTGGTGTTGTTGTTGTTGAGTGATTCACTTGGGGCCTTGACAATGTGTCTAGCTTAGTGGTCTAATCACCACACCGTGTAGTTGTTGTTGAGTGATTCACTTGGGGCCTTGACAATGTGTCTAGCTTAGTGGTCTAATCACCACACCATGTTGTTGTTGAGTGATTCACTTGGGGCCTTGACAATGTGTCTAGCTTAGTGGTCTAATCACCACACCGTGTTGTTGAGTGATTCACTTGGGGCCTTGACAATGTGTCTAGCTTAGTGGTCTAATCACCACACAGTGTTGTTGTTGTTGAGTGATTCACTTGGGGCCTTGACAATGTGTCTAGCTTAGTGGTCTAATCACCACACCGTGTTGTTGTTGTTGTTGAGTGATTCACTTGGGGCCTTGACAATGTGTCTAGCTTAGTGGTCTAATCACCACACCGTGTAGTTGTTGTTGAGTGATTCACTTGGGGCCTTGACAATGTGTCTAGCTTAGTGGTCTAATCACCACACCATGTTGTTGTTGAGTGATTCACTTGTGGCCTTGACAATGTGTCTAGCTTAGTGGTCTAATCACCACACTGTGTTGTTGTTGTTGAGTGATTCACTTGGGACCTTGACAATGTGTCTAGCTTAGTGGTCTAATCACCACACCATGGTGTTGTTGTTGTTGAGTGATTCACTTGGGGCCTTGACAATGTGTCTAGCTTAGTGGTCTAATCACCACACCGTGTTGTTTTGTTGTTGTTGAGTGATTCACTTGGGGCCTTGACAATGTGTCTAGCTTAGTGGTCTAATCACCACACCGTGGTGTTGTTGTTGTTGTTGAGTGATTCACTTGGGGCCTTGACAATGTGTCTAGCTTAGTGGTCTAATCACCAGACCGTGTTGTTGTTGTTGATTGATTCACTTGGGGCCTTGACAATGCGTCTAGCTTAGTGGTCTAATCACCACACCGTGGTGTTCTTGTTGTTGTTGAGTGATTCACTTGGGGCCTTGACAATGTGTCTAGCTTAGTGGTCTAATCACCACACCGTGGTGTTGTTGTTGAGTGATTCACTTGGGGCCTTGACAATGTGTCTAGCTTAGTGGTCTAATCACCACACCGTGTTGTTGTTGTTGAGTGATTCACTTCGGGCCTTCCAACACCGCCGGCGATGATTATCTCAACCGGTTCTGGGACTCCCCTAGGTCGACTCAGCCTCAAATGAGTAGCTGGTGTAGCGGTGTGTAGTAGTAAAACATCGCTAGCACTGGGGAGACAAAGGCGGCCGGGCGTGGTGCTGGCCACCCACCCCCCTCGTGTGCCACAGTGCCGGTAGCCTTCATAGCTGCTGCTCGCTAACAGCACTTGCCCCTACAGCCTGTTACAGGCTACACGGTGTGGGATCTTTGTGTTATTGTTTGGTGTAAACATGTCAACATGTTGTGAAATTCTATTCCCGTGGGCGTCGAGGGGATGGCCATACCCTGGGCACGCCAGGTGAAGGCAGTGGCAGCAAGTATTCAAATCGCCATCACTTTCCATCTCTTTGGGGGGGGTTTGAGTGTTTCCCCCTCGCACGCCACGTGGAGTTTTCTCCCGGTGCTGCGATTTCCTCCCACACGTGTATAATAACAATAATAAGCACAACTGTTATTACATCTTAAAATAAAATAAAAACTAAATGCAGGACACTTAAGAAAAAACAAATTTCACTCGATGTGGCTCTTGGATCAATAGGCACGTGTCAGCTAATTATAGCATTGTGTGGTCACAATGATCAGGAGCACGGGGTAGGCCTTACGTTGAGGGAACTCCATTTGAAGAACTTTGATGTTAAGCTAGATTCATCTTCTTTGGTTCTTTCGGTAAAGTCACCACCACGTAGAATGAGAATAAAATAATAAATTAATAAAATAAAATAACACGATAAAATTCTCACGACGTTTCGGCCACAACACAAGTGGCCTTCATCAGGTGAAGGGACAGCGCTCGCTCCAGCGCTGTCCTCTAGACAGTCTCGTCCCTTCATCTGATGAAGGCCACTTGTGTTGTGGCCGAAACGTCGTGAGAATTTTATTGTGTTATTTTATTTTATCAATTTATTATTTTATTCTCTTTCTACGTGATGGTGACTTTACCGAAAGAACCAAAGAAGATGAATCCTTGCAGTCACGAAAGCTTTAAATCGACAAATGAATCTAGATTCTCATTGTCAGTGCAGCAAAGCACAAAATCAATACAGTAACACCATGAAAATACAATTACCGATTGACGTATTGGGAAACTTGTTGCATTCGTATTTTTGAAAAATGTAAAAATTGCAGCAACAACGCTGTTTGCCCCCACCTCCATTAACGCTACAGCGTAAACAGACGGGCGGTGGCAATTAAAAAAAAAATGATTCCCATTTAAACTTGTAAGTTGCTTTGCCGAGAGATCTCGCTGGTGCCATCTGGATTGCTCTGCAGCAGTGGCGCTGTCTTAATAAATTCCACATTTGTTTTTTTCTTGCGTGCACGTACACGGTGTCTGTGCGTCATGCAGGAAGACGGCTATCGGAGGAGTGTGCAAAGAATACAACATGGAGGGGAACGACAATGAAACCTTCAGCCGAAATTTGGGCAGCAGTTTTTCCACGCTCCCCGACTTCAAAATACGGTGCATCTTGGGCAGTGTTTCAGAGAATGAACGAGGTCACCGTCAATCTAGGCAGGTCCGGGAGCCATCGAGCCGTGGCCAGAGTCAGCTAGGGCAAGGTCGCGGTCAAACGGGGCCATTCCAGGTGATGTTGGGTCACGGGTGGTGTCAGATGGGACAAGGTGAAGGTCAATCTGGTGGGCAAATCCAGGGGCCATCGGTTCAAGGTTGGGGTAATAAAGGGCAGGGTCAGCCGGGGGAAGGCGACGGAGTGGCAATTCAAGGCCACAATCAGCCAGGGCAGGGGCCTTCGATTCAAGGTTGGGGTAATAAAGGGCAGGGTCAGCCGGGGGAAGGCGACGGAGTGGCAATTCAAGGCCACAATCAGCCAGGGCAGGGGCCATCGACTCAAGGTTGGGGTAATAAAGGGCAGGGTCAGCCGGGGGAAGGCGACGGAGTGGCAATTCAAGGCCACAATCAGCCAGGGCAGAGCCAATATCACGACGGGAAAAAAAAACCCCAATTGGGCCGAGGTCAGACTCAGCCAAAACAGGGTCAGCGTCAACCCGAGCAGGGCCAGGGACTGTCAGGGCACGCCCATGGTCTGCTGGGGCAAGGCCGAGGTCAACCTAATCAGGGCCTGAGTCAGCCAAGGCAATCTCATTGTCCACTGGGCCAAGTCCAGGAGCCATTGGGTCACGCTTGGGGTCAACTTGGACAAGGTCAAGTGGGTCGTGGTGAAACTGGACAGGTTCAACAAGGTCAAGCACAGAGGATGCTATTGCAAGGTCAGTCAACTTGGTCATGGTCAAGTGACACCGCCAAGGTCAAGGTATTCCTTTCAGCTGTAGATCATGGCCCCGTGTATCGCCTGGCTCCAATCTGTAAACCAATCGCGCCGCTTATTTTACTTAAAACGATCTCAATCCTCCGATGTCCACATTGATCGCCGAGCACGAATTCCGCTTGCGCTTTTCAACCGGCGTTTGACGTCAGAAGTACGGTGCGGTGCTCTGCTTAGTCATTGACGATAACGATGGTTAGGCAGCGCTTGCCCCAGGAACGCAAGAGGCGGTACGTCCGTCACGCCGCGATGAAAAGCGGCTCGGCCTAGGTGTGCGTGCCTAGGGCAGGTGGACCGCGTTGGCTAGGAGACGTTAACTACCTCGCCTGGTACGCAGGAGGGTCGTGGGTTCGATCCCGACCCCTGACGCCTGTTGCTGTGTATTTGGAGTTTGCGTGTCTCTCTCTCATCATCATCATCACGGTGGCTAGGAGACGTTAACTACCTCGCCCGGTACGCAGGAGGTCGTGGGTTCGATCCCGACCCCTGACGCCTGTTGCTGTGTATTTGGAGTTTGCGTGTCTCTCTCTCATCATCATCATCACGGTGGCTAGGAGATGTTAACTACCTCGCCCGGTACGCAGGAGGGTCGTGGGTTCGATCCCAACCCTGACGCCTGTTGCTGTGTATTTGGAGTTTGCGTGTCTCTCTCTCATCATCATCATCATCACGGTGGCTAGGAGATGTTAACTACCTCGCCCGGTACGCAGGAGGGGCATGGGTTCGATCCCGACCCCTGACGCCCGTGCGTTTGAAAGTTTGCGCGTTCTCCCCACGGCGGTGTTGATGTTGCTCCATGCCCTGCGTTGTTTCCCCGCGCATTTAGAAAAACGTGACGTTTAAGAGTAATGCGGCTGATATACATTGACACGTGGTGATGAACCACTTTGTTGAGCTTATCAACTGTGGCCAGGTCGCTTCTGAACAAGAGCTACGTATCCGAGCGGGCTCTTACGTGGTAAAATAACAAGTTTAGTTTCGTTTAGTTGATGGGTTCCTTTAATGCTGGCTTTTGTCTCCAAAGTTTTTTTGGGAAAAAACTTTTGGTCAGTTCGCCGATTTTTCTACAGGGCAAGCACTTTATATCAGAACGCAATTTTACTGAAGATTTATTCATATTTATGATGCTCATCATAACCTCTCATTGCCGACAGACACCCCGACTGAGCTGAGCACTAAACCTCAGTTGGAAAGTTCTAAAAAGCGATACGTGTGTCAACGTGTACCAATGTACATCTCGTGCGGTGCTATTATGAACGATGTACTTTAATACTCTTTGGTTCTATTGGGTAAAGTCACGTAGGTGAAAATAAACCCAATAGAACCAATAGAACCAAAGAGTATGGATCCTAGCAGTCACGAAAGCTTTAAATCTAGGATGTACTTTAACTTAATTGTGCGCAATTTTTGTTCGCAGCTCAAGCAAACATCACTGAGCAGCATCAACCTCGGCAGAGCACGCCACCGCCGCCGCCGCTGCCGCTTGATGGGCAAGAGGCAAGATGACTCGCTGATCACATTGAAACGTGTCCACAGATGTGCATCGTTATTTCACATTAATAATACGGTCATTCTAAGAAAATACCGATTCATCTAGTTTCATATTCTCGGTTCTTTCGGTAAAGTCACCACGTAGAAGGGAAACGATACAATAATAAAAATATAAAACAATAAAATTCTCGCGACGTTTCAAACATCTGAACAAGCTGCCAAATCGCTCTCCGTGGTACTGACGTTTAAAAAAAACTTTTTTCAAATTTTCTTGCTGTGGTTTTCACACCTGACGATGATCGCTGCTTGTGTTGCAGTCGAAACGTCGTGATAATTTTATTGTTTCCCTTTCTACGTGGCGGTGACTTTACCGAAAGAACCGAGAATGTGAATCACTGCAGTCGTGAAAGCTTCAAGTGAAAATTTATTTAGTTTCACGAAGCTTGGGGCTGCTGCCACGGTGCGCAATGGTTCAGCACGCTGGACTTGCGGTCCACAAGGTCGTGATGTCCAGGCGTGCCAGGTTTAATAGGCACGTGTCTACAATGTCCCACCTCTGTCCACTCTGCAGTATATATTGGTACACCGCAGTTGAATGGCAGGCCGCATGTGGTGGGGTAAAGTGTGGGTACTACCATCACTTCCAAGACGTCTCCCCAGCGTGGAGGAGTTCAGCCCCTAGTGAGGGTTTCTCTACCAAGACGTCTTGAACAGCGTGGAAGAGTTCAGCCCCTAGTGAGGGTGTCTTTACCAAGACGTCTTGAACAGCGTGGAAGAGTTCAGCCCCTAGTGAGGGCTTCTCTACCAAGACATCTTGAACAGCGTGGAAGAGTTCAGTCTCTAGTGAGGGTTTCTCTTCCAAGACATCTTGAACAGCGTGGAAGAGTTCAGCCCCTAGTGAGGGTTTCTCTTCCAAGACGTCTTGAACAGCGTGGAAGAGTTCAGCCCCTAGTGAGGGTTTCTCTTCCAAGACGTCTTGAACAGCGTGGAAGAGTTCAGCCCCTAGTGAGGGTTTCTCTTCCAAGATGTCTTGAACAGCGTGGAAGAGTTCATCCCCTAGTGAGGGTTTCTCTACCAAGACGTCTTGAACAGCGTGGAAGAGTTCAGCCCCTAGTGAGGGTTCCTCTACCAAGACGTCTTGAACGGCGTGGAAGAGTTCAGCCCCTAGTGAGGGTTTCACTTCCAAGACGTCTTGAACAGCGTGGAAGAGTTCAGCCCCTAGTGAGGGTTTCTCTACCAAGACGTCTTGAACGGCGTGGAAGAGTTCAGCCCCTAGTGAGGGTTCCTCTACCAAGACGTCTTGAACAGCGTGGAAGAGTTCAGCCCCTAGTGAGGGTTTCTCTTCCTTTAAGACGTCTTGAACAGCGTGGAAGAGTTCAGCCCCTAGTGAGGGTTTCTCTTCCAAGACGTCTTGAACAGCGTGGAAGAGTTCAGCCCCTAGTGAGGGTTTCTCTACCAAGACATCTTGAACAGCGTGGAAGAGTTCAGCCCCTAGTGAGGGTTTCTCTTCCAAGACGTCTTGAACAGCGTGGAAGAGTTCAGCCCCTAGTGAGGGTTCCTCTACCAAGACGTCTTGAACAGCGTGGAAGAGTTCAGCCCCTAGTGAGGGTTTCTCTACCAAGACGTCTTGAACAGCGTGGAAGAGTTCAGCCCCTAGTGAGGGTTTCTCTTCCAAGACGTCTTGAACAGCGTGGAAGAGTTCAGCCCCTAGTGAGGGTTTCTCTTCCAAGATGTCTTGAACAGCGTGGAAGAGTTCAGCCCCTAGTGAGGGTTTCTCTACCAAGACGTCTTGAACAGCGTGGAAGAGTTCAGCCCCTAGTGAGGGTTCCTCTACCAAGACGTCTTGAACGGCGTGGAAGAGTTCAGCCCCTAGTGAGGGTTTCACTTCCAAGGCGTCTTGAACAGCGTGGAAGAGTTCAGCCCCTAGTGAGGGTTTCTCTACCAAGACGTCTTGAACGGCGTGGAAGAGTTCAGCCCCTAGTGAGGGTTCCTCTACCAAGACGTCTTGAACAGCGTGGAAGAGTTCAGCCCCTAGTGAGGGTTTCTCTTCCTTTAAGACGTCTTGAACAGCGTGGAAGAGTTCAGCCCCTAGTGAGGGTTTCTCTTCCAAGACGTCTTGAACAGCGTGGAAGAGTTCAGCCCCTAGTGAGGGTTTCTCTACGAAGACGTCTTGAACAGCGTGGAAGAGTTCAGCCCCTAGTGAGGGTTTCTCTTCCAAGACGTCTTGAACAGCGTGGAAGAGTTCAGCCCCTAGTGAGGGCTTCTCTACCAAGACATCTTGAACAGCGTGGAAGAGTTCAGTCTCTAGTGAGGGTTTCTCTACCAAGACATCTTGAACAGCGTGGAAGAGTTCAGCCCCTAGTGAGGGTTTCTCTTCCAAGACGTCTTGAACAGCGTGGAAGAGTTCAGCCCCTAGTGAGGGTTCCTCTACCAAGACGTCTTGAACAGCGTGGAAGAGTTCAGCCACTAGTGAGGGTTCCTCTACCAAGACGTCTTGAACAGCGTGGAAGAGTTCAGCCCCTAGTGAGGGTTTCTCTACCAAGAGGTCTTGAACAGCGTGGAAGAGTTCAGCCCCTAGTGAGGGTTTCTCTTCCAAGACGTCTTGAACAGCGTGGAAGAGTTCAGCCCCTAGTGAGGGTTTCTCTTCCAAGATGTCTTGAACAGCGTGGAAGAGTTCAGCCCCTAGTGAGGGTTTCTCTACCAAGACGTCTTGAACAGCGTGGAAGAGTTCAGCCCCTAGTGAGGGTTCCTCTACCAAGACGTCTTGAACGGCGTGGAAGAGTTCAGCCCCTAGTGAGGGTTTCACTTCCAAGACGTCTTGAACAGCGTGGAAGAGTTCAGCCCCTAGTGAGGGTTTCTCTACCAAGACGTCTTGAACGGCGTGGAAGAGTTCAGCCCCTAGTGAGGGTTCCTCTACCAAGACGTCTTGAACAGCGTGGAAGAGTTCAGCCCCTAGTGAGGGTTTCTCTTCCAAGACGTCTTGAACAGCGTGGAAGAGTTCAGCCCCTAGTGAGGGTTTCTCTTCCAAGACGTCTTGAACAGCGTGGAAGAGTTTAGCCCTTAGTGAGGGTTTCTCTTCCACGACGTCTTGAACAGCGTGGAAGAGTTTAGCCCCTAGTGAGGGTTTCTCTTCCAAGATGTCTTGAACAGCGTGGAAGAGTTCATCCCCTAGTGAGGGTTTCTCTACCAAGACGTCTTGAACAGCGTGGAAGAGTTCAGCCCCTAGTGAGGGTTCCTCTACCAAGACGTCTTGAACGGCGTGGAAGAGTTCAGCCCCTAGTGAGGGTTTCACTTCCAAGACGTCTTGAACAGCGTGGAAGAGTTCAGCCCCTAGTGAGGGTTTCTCTACCAAGACGTCTTGAACGGCGTGGAAGAGTTCAGCCCCTAGTGAGGGTTCCTCTACCAAGACGTCTTGAACAGCGTGGAAGAGTTCAGCCCCTAGTGAGGGTTTCTCTTCCTTTAAGACGTCTTGAACAGCGTGGAAGAGTTCAGCCCCTAGTGAGGGTTTCTCTTCCAAGACGTCTTGAACAGCGTGGAAGAGTTCAGCCCCTAGTGAGGGTTTCTCTACCAAGACATCTTGAACAGCGTGGAAGAGTTCAGCCCCTAGTGAGGGTTTCTCTTCCAAGACGTCTTGAACAGCGTGGAAGAGTTCAGCCCCTAGTGAGGGTTCCTCTACCAAGACGTCTTGAACAGCGTGGAAGAGTTCAGCCCCTAGTGAGGGTTTCTCTACCAAGACGTCTTGAACAGCGTGGAAGAGTTCAGCCCCTAGTGAGGGTTTCTCTTCCAAGACGTCTTGAACAGCGTGGAAGAGTTCAGCCCCTAGTGAGGGTTTCTCTTCCAAGATGTCTTGAACAGCGTGGAAGAGTTCAGCCCCTAGTGAAGGTTTCTCTACCAAGACGTCTTGAACAGCGTGGAAGAGTTCAGCCCCTAGTGAGGGTTCCTCTACCAAGACGTCTTGAACGGCGTGGAAGAGTTCAGCCCCTAGTGAGGGTTTCACTTCCAAGGCGTCTTGAACAGCGTGGAAGAGTTCAGCCCCTAGTGAGGGTTTCTCTACCAAGACGTCTTGAACGGCGTGGAAGAGTTCAGCCCCTAGTGAGGGTTCCTCTACCAAGACGTCTTGAACAGCGTGGAAGAGTTCAGCCCCTAGTGAGGGTTTCTCTTCCTTTAAGACGTCTTGAACAGCGTGGAAGAGTTCAGCCCCTAGTGAGGGTTTCTCTTCCAAGACGTCTTGAACAGCGTGGAAGAGTTCAGCCCCTAGTGAGGGTTTCTCTACGAAGACGTCTTGAACAGCGTGGAAGAGTTCAGCCCCTAGTGAGGGTTTCTCTTCCAAGACGTCTTGAACAGCGTGGAAGAGTTCAGCCCCTAGTGAGGGCTTCTCTACCAAGACATCTTGAACAGCGTGGAAGAGTTCAGTCTCTAGTGAGGGTTTCTCTACCAAGACATCTTGAACAGCGTGGAAGAGTTCAGCCCCTAGTGAGGGTTTCTCTTCCAAGACGTCTTGAACAGCGTGGAAGAGTTCAGCCCCTAGTGAGGGTTCCTCTACCAAGACGTCTTGAACAGCGTGGAAGAGTTCAGCCACTAGTGAGGGTTCCTCTACCAAGACGTCTTGAACAGCGTGGAAGAGTTCAGCCCCTAGTGAGGGTTTCTCTACCAAGAGGTCTTGAACAGCGTGGAAGAGTTCAGCCCCTAGTGAGGGTTTCTCTTCCAAGACGTCTTGAACAGCGTGGAAGAGTTCAGCCCCTAGTGAGGGTTTCTCTTCCAAGACTGTCTTGAACAGCGTGGAAGAGTTCAGCCCCTAGTGAGGGTTTCTCTACCAAGACGTCTTGAACAGCGTGGAAGAGTTCAGCCCCTAGTGAGGGTTTCCTCTACCAAGACGTCTTGAACAGGCGTGGAAGAGTTCAGCCCCTAGTGAGGGTTTCTACTTCCAAGACGTCTTGAACAGCGTGGAAGAGTTCAGCCCCTAGTGAGGGTTTCTCTACCAAGACGTCTTGAACAGCGTGGAAGAGTTCAGCCCCTAGTGAGGGTTCCTCTACCAAGACGTCTTGAACAGCGTGGAAGAGTTCAGCCCCTAGTGAGGGTTTCTCTTCCAAGACGTCTTGAACAGCGTGGAAGAGTTCAGCCCCTAGTGAGGGTTTCTCTACCAAGACGTCTTGAACAGCGTGGAAGAGTTCAGCCCCTAGTGAGGGTTCCTCTACCAAGACGTCTTGAACAGCGTGGAAGAGTTCAGCCCCTAGTGAGGGTTTCTCTACCAAAACGTCTTGAACAGCGTGGAAGAGTTCAGCCCCTAGTGAGGGTTTCTCTTCCAAGACGTCTTGAACAGCGTGGAAGAGTTCAGCCCCTAGTGAGGGTTTCTCTTCCAAGACGTCTCCCCAGCGTGGAAGAGTTCAGCCCCTAGTGAGGGTTTCTCTACCAAGACGTCTTGAACAGCGTGGAAGAGTTCAGCCCCTAGTGAGGGTTTCTCTTCCAAGACGTCTTGAACAGCGTGGAAGAGTTCAGCCCCTAGTGAGGGTTTCTCTACCAAGACGTCTTGAACAGCATGGAAGAGTTCAGCCCCTAGTGAGGGTTTCTCTAACCAAGACGTCTTGAACAGCGTGGAAGAGTTCAGCCCCTAGTGAGGGTTTCTCTTCCTTTAAGACGTCTTGAACAGCGTGGAAGAGTTCAGCCCCTAGTGAGGGTTTCTCTACGAAGACGTCTTGAACTGCGTGGAAGAGTTCAGCCCTTAGTGAGGGTTTCTCTTCCAAGACGTCTTGAACAGCGTGGAAGAGTTCAGCCCCTAGTGAGGGTTTCTCTACCAAGACGTCTTGAACAGCGTGGAAGAGTTCAGCCCCTAGTGAGGGTTTCACTTCCAAGACGTCTTGAACAGCGTGGAAGAGTTCAGCCCCTAGTGAGGGTTTCTCTACCAAGACGTCTCCCCAGCGTGGAAGAGTTCAGCCCCTAGGGAGGGTTTCTCTTCCAAGACGTCTTGAACAGCGTGGAAGAGTTCAGCCCCTAGTGAGGGTTTCTCTACCAAGACGTCTCCCCAGCGTGGAAGAGTTCAGCCCCTAGGGAGGGTTTCTCTTCCAAGACGTCTTGAACAGCGTGGAAGAGTTCAGCCCCTAGTGAGGGTTTCTCTACCAAGACGTCTCCCCAGCGTGGAAGAGTTCAGCCCCTAGTGAGGGTTTCTCTTCCAAGACGTCTTGAACAGCGTGGAAGAGTTCAGCCTCTACTGAGCGCCCTCTAGTGGAGGCCCTTTTGCCAGCAGTGATTACGATCAAACAATTTCAGATCTGCGCCTTAAACATTTTTACGTTCACAGCACTTGGCAAAGACGTTTTAAGGGAAAGTTAATTTAAAAAATAAAAAAACCGTGTATTTGTGCTTGTACATGACTTGATCGAGTTTTCGGTTGAAATGGAGTAATAATAATCAGTTCAACACGTAGGCTTTCACGACCAATTATATTCGTATAATAAATGTTTTTTGGGTTATATCGCGTAAAGTATGAATGTGTAAATGTTGTGGATTTACTCTCCGACACACCGGTGGGCCGAAGTAGTAATTCACTGGCGCGTTTTGTTTACGTGACAAACCTCACTGGCTGGGTCGGGTGGTGGAGGGTAACGACACACACTTACGCGAGCCAACCCAAGAACGTTTATCGCGAATGATCGGTCATCGGGCAGCGGAAAATCTTGATGTGTTCACGACACTACGGCTTGGGAAGCTGCTGACACACGCTCCTCATGCCGTGTGTTGTGTTTGGTTGTTTTTTTTTCTTCGCAGAATAAAGATCACGTGTCAAGGACGTACAATTCTTTGCGCTGTGAAATGAACAAGTTGAACATGTGGAAGGTCAGAGTTCACTCTGAGCTCAGCAAAAAGGAGGAAGCTGTCAGAATGGCCCAGGAGACGGCCGACGCTCTGCAGAAATCAACTCGACAAACACAGGTGGGTAGCAGCAGCAGTAAGTGGTCTCATTTCTCTAAAGCAGTGCTTCTCAGTGTGGTCACTCACCCCCGGTATCACCGGTGGTCCACCACGCTCCTCCGGGTGGTCCTCAGGGCTGTGAGTAACACAGGTGGGCAACAGCAGCAGCAGTAAGTGGTCTTATTTCTCTAAAGCAGTGCTTCTCACAGTGTGGTCACCCTCCCTCCCTCCCCCGTACCACCGGTGGTCCTCCATGCTCCTCCGGGTGGTCGCGGGGTTGTGATGCAGGCTGATCCGGAGAGTAATTACAATGTACGTCATTATTATTATTAAATTAAACTCGTGATATTTAAAAATTAGGTGAGGAAAAACGACCTTAACCCTCGGGTCTAAATGCGCCCCCCCTAAAAAAAAACCTCGTAGCTGCGTTTAAAAAAATAAAGCGTTTGTATTCCCGTAATATGAGTGATTTAGTGTTACTGCTATTTAGAGAAACAAGCGAATGGCTGAGTTGGTTTGCGGGCCGACGACTTGTCGAGTTTCCGCGGAGTATTTGTGCATTGCGCGCGGTCATTCTCTTGGCCTTTAATCTTTGGTTACTTCGGTAAAGTCACGTGGTAGGTATAAAGATGATAAAATGTCCACGACGTTTCGATCGCAACACCTCAAGCGCTTTGTCCTAGGGCGGTAAAAAAAGTAATCCCTGCAGTGGAACTGCTGAACCAGCGAGAGAGTCCTGTCACAACAACAACAACAACAGCAGCAGCAGCAAGAGGTTTAATTTTTATTTTCGCCTGAGGACGACCGCCGCCTGTGGTGTCGCGATGGAAACGTCGTGATTTGATTTATTATTTTGTGTTGTATTTTTATACGCGCTACGCGACTTTACTTGAATGAAAGCAAAGACTGTGGATTCCTGCGGTGACGAAAAACTTCAAATCTCTTAGTCTTATTAAATTTTTATTTAAATATTTCGTGACTGCAGGGATTCATATTCTTGGTTCTTTCGGTAAAGTCACCGCCACGTAGAAGGGAATCAATAAAATAATAAAAATTTAAAACGATCAAATTATCATGACGTTTCGACTGCAACGCAAGCGATCATCGTCAGGTGTGAAAACCACAGCAAGAAAACAATTTTCACCGCCGCTCTTTAAAAAAAAATTCTTGCTGTGGTTTTCACACCTGATGATGATTGCTTGTGTTGCAGTCGAAACGTCGTGAGACTTTTATTGTTTGATATTTTTTATTATTTTATTGTTTCCCTTCTACGTGGTGGTGACTTTACCGAATGAACCAAAGATTATGGATTCCTGCAGTGACGTAAACTTCAAATCTCTTCTTCGTCTTCTTCTTGATTCTTTCGGTAAAGTCGCCACGTAGAAGGGAAAAAATAAAATAATAAAAATTTAAAACAATAAAATTCTCACGACGTTTCGACTGCAACGCAAGCGATCATCATCAGGTGTGAAAACCACCGCAAGAAAAAAATGTCACCGCCACTTTTTTAAAATTTTCTTGCTGTGGTTTTCACACCTGACGATGATTGCTTGTGTTGCCGTCGAAACGTCGTGAGAATTATATTGTTTTATATTTTTATTACTTTATTGTTTCCCTTCTACGTGGTGACTTTACCGAAAGAACCAAAAATAAATCTCTTAGTCTTGTCGACTAAAGCAGTGAAACGCTTTCATTCAATGTTGGTGTGAGTGGCTCCTCATTTCTCCAAACCCAAACATTTATTGTCAGCTAATCGGTAAACTTCATCAATCTTTTGACGTAGACACGTAGCCAATGATCAGGTTTGGTTTTCCTCAGTGCACTGTGTGTATGTTGAACTTCTTTCACACCGTACGTAGCCAACCGTGCTGTGTGTGTATATTGAACATCTTTCACACCGTACGTAGCCAACCGTGCTACGTGTGTGTATGTTGAACATCTTTCACACCGTGCGTAGCCAACCATGCTACGTGTGTGTATGTTGAACTTCTTTCACACCGTACGTAGCCAACCGTGCTACGTGTGTGTATGTTGAACATCTTTCACACCGTACGTAGCCAACCGTGCTATGTGTGTGTATGTTGAACTTCTTTCACACCGTACGTAGCCAACCGTGCTATGTGTGTGTGTGTATGTTGAACTTCTTTCACACCGTACGTAGCCAACCGTGCTATGTGTGTGTATGTTGAACATCTTTCACACCGTACGTAGCCAACCGTGCTACGTGTGTGTATGTTGAACTTCTTTCACACCGTACGTAGCCAACCGTGCTACGTGTGTGTGTATGTTGAACTTCTTTCACACCGTACGTAGCCAACCGTGCTATGTGTGTGTTTGTTGAACTTCTTTCACACCGTACGTAGCCACCTGTGCTATGTGTGTGTATGTTGAACTTCTTTCACACCGTACGTAGCCAACCGTGCTACGTGTGTGTATGTTGAACTTCTTTCACACCGTACGTAGCCAACCGTGCTATGTGTGTGTGTATGTTGAACATCTTTCACACCGTACGTAGCCAACCGTGCTACGTGTGTGTATGTGGAACATCTTTCACACCGTACGTAGCCAACCGTGCTGTGTGTGTGTTTGTTGAACTTCTTTCACACCGTACGTAGCCAACCGTGCTATGTGTGTGTATGTTGAACATCTTTCACACAGTACGTAGCCAACCGTGCTACGTGTGTGTATGTTGAACTTCTTTCACACCGTACGTAGCCAACCGTGCTCAATGGGAGATGCAGTGGCATCTCAAATAACGTTGCTACATTTGCATATTGTTTCAGACTCATTAATTTCGTCTGGTTATAATCACGATTAGGTTGTTTTTGTGGATTCCCCATAGTCATCATTATGATTGGTAATTGTGTCCACTCATCATTCGTCATTGTTAACTAAAATAGAGAAACACTTGGTTTGCCAAGACAATAATTTAAAGGTGCTTCTAATCTGTTTGTAGCTTCAACTGGACAGCAATAAGATTCGTGTCTGTGGTTCCTCAGCGATCGCTTTGTCTGCATGATTGACGATGCTTTATGAAACCCGAACGTCATTATCAGTGCTGTGTGTCAGATAACAATTATCAGACAACTGTGTTGAAGCGGTATGCGTCACCTCAGCGAAGTGTGTGTGTCGTGTTTCCTTTCAGCTTGAAAATGTACACCTCAGCGCGCAACTTCAAGACGTGATTGACATCAAAGGAGATTTAATGGAGAAGTAAGAAGTTATTCATTTCCCTCGAATTTCATCTTTGTCCTCTGTTTAGGTTCCTAAACTTACTGGAGAAACCCGAAGAGCAATGAAGCTCTTTTTTTTGTAACAAATGTCCGGTAGATTTCAGAGATGTCCGGTGGACTCAGGGGCGAGGAGCCAGGATTTTGACTTTGGGGGGGTTGCTGACTTCAACATTCTGAGATATCTCAGTGTGTTTGTGTTTTCCAATGGGCACCACAAATGTATAAAACTAATTATTGGATTTGAGCTGCGGAGTTTATTAATAGGTCGGAGCCGCCGACGTGGCCAGTAAGTTCGATAAGTTCGCAAGGCTGCCGCTCAAGCAGCCTGCAGGGCAGCACGCAAGGTGGCAGCCTGCAGGGCAGCACACAAGGTGGCAGCCTGCAGGGCAGCACGAGGTGACATCACAAGGTGACATCACAAGGTGGCAGCACAAGGTGGTAGCCTGCAGGGCAGCACAAGGTGACAGCCTGCAGGGCAGCACACAAGGTGGCAGCCTGCAGGGCAGCACAAGGTGGCAGCCTACAGGGCAGCACGAGGTGGCAGCACACAAGGTGACATCACAAGGTGGCAGCTGGCAGGGCAGCAGCACAAGGTGGCAGTCTGCAGGGCAGCACAAGGTGACATCACAAGGTGGTAGCCTGCAGGGCAGCACACGGGGTGGTAGCCTGCAGGGCAGCACACAAGGTGGTAGCCTGCAGGGCAGCACACGAGGTGGCAGCCTGCAGGGCAGCACAAGGTGACAGCCTGCAGGGCAGCACACAAGGTGGCATCACAAGGTGGCAGCCTGCGGCATTTTGCAGCAGCCGGATATCCGGTTATCCCGATTGCCGACTTCCCCAAATTTCCGGGGGGGGGGGCTGACCCCCCCCATCCCCCCCTGTTGCTCCGCCCCTGAGTGGACTACTGGGTGGAGGTCAGAGGTCACGCCGGCAGAACAAACGAGCGACTTGTTGATGACACCAACATCCTCTCTGCATTTTCATTTTAAAAACTTTCGCGACTGCAGGAATTCACGTTCTTTGGTTCTTTCTGTAAAGTCACAGAAAACAACAAAATCACGGTGAGTTTTTATTTTGTTGTTTCCCTTCTACGTGACTTCACCGAAAGAACCAAGAATATCTTCATCTGCAATGCGCTTTGCCTTAAAATGGCGGATACGTTCCTACGAAGGTTTTCTGACCCGCCGTCCTTGCAATGTGCCCGTGTCCGTAAGGATCCGTGCCACCAGGCAGATGTGTGACGATCTGAAGGGCCAGTCCTCTTCAGTGCAACAAACATTAACCAGAGGTACATTCTCAACATTCGCCGACCATTGGACGTTGCCGGTGTTACACGTTTAGTGATTAAACTTGCTTGTCGTTGACTCACGTGGGTCACGTGCGTACGGTGATAATGGACGTTGACGGTGTAACACGTTTAGTGATTAAACTTGATTGTCGTTGACTCACGTGGGTCACATGCGTACGGTGATAATGACATTGACGGTGTAACACGTTTAGTGATTAAACTTGATTGTCGTTGACTCACGTGGGTCACGTGCGTACGGTGATAATGGACGTTGACGGTGTAACACGTTTAGTGATTAAACTTGCTTGTCGTTGACTCACGTGGGTCACGTCCGCACGGTGATAATGGCAGCTGAAACAGAACAAGAAGAAGTGGAAGCTGTTCATTCGTCGCTGAAAGCAGAACTGAAGGTAAAATGTGTGATGCTTTTTAAATTTTGTTTTCATTTAATTGTATTTCTTGAGAAACGTGTAACGGTATAAACGTACGCACGTGCACATTTAACATTAATGCTGGATCCCCGCTGTCATCCTCTCTTAAAGACGTTTGCGGTGACTTTCAGCGAATTGAATTTAAAGTCTCAAAATGACAAGAATATTGCGTTGGGCAAAGGTGAGTCTCGTGCCGGGTGACGCAATGCACGGCTGCTCAGTGATACGCAGAGCACTGTCGATGATGATCAATGACCGTTGTGGTTTTTACTGGATGAATATTGACGCGCTCAGCCACTTTGTCGAACGTGCGACGCGCGTGTGTCGTACGCAGTGGAAGCAGCCGTGGAAGCGACGGGGAGAGCGCGGTGGGACTTTGTAAACAAGTTGACGATTAAAGAAAGCCAGGTTCGCGCGAATTCATGAGCTCATCGCTTTTGCTCACATTTTAAATGCATGACGCGTGTGTCGTACGCAGTGGAAGCAGCTGTGGAAGAAATGGAAAGAGCGCGGTGGGACTTTGTAAACAAGTTGACGATTAAAGAAAGCCAGGTTCGGGCGAATCCACGAGCTGATCGCTTTTGCTCACATTTTAAATGCACGTTGGGATAAAAAAAAAATTGGATTAAATGACCATGCATTACCTTTTACAAACCAGTGTGTATATATATAGCTCAAACCCCAAGGGTCTGTTATAATTCAGGCTCATTAATTTTTGTTGATTTCAAATGTAAGAAATGCAGCTCCTAAAGGCATGCCTGTCTCAATCATAAAATATCCTTTGAAGATCAAGATCACCTTCAAATAAAAACTGATATATTAATGTTCCTATCCCAAACTATTGCCTTTAACGCCTACTATTGCCATTGTGTACAGTGTTCATACATTGCTTTTACAATTTACAAACGTCTGTATAACAATATAATGCTTAAAATGTGAATTATTTCCACTTTAGAACGTATTCAGTGCCCTAAACGCATTTGTTCAACGAAATATATGGGATCTGCACATTTCGACCTCTTTGTCTTGATTTCTCAAGTTCATTTCAGTCTGGTAAACACAACTTATCTGACTTCAATGATGACTTTCAAACCAGAAAACTCGCCTTGCCCAGCAGTAGGTCATTTCATAGATCCGTGCGTAAAGTCGTATTATTATCTTTGTCGTTCAGTAGTTAGCAAACAGAGAGTTCCGTCTTTTCGCTCTTAGGCCAAAGAAATGTCCGAGCTGTTGGAGTTAAAAAATGAAGAGCTCAAAATGGCCTCGCAAAAGCTGCAAGATTCCATTGAAAGCTGCGCTCGACTCGAAGAAACAGAGCGTGAGAGCACACTTCAAGTTGCCCGCTTTTTATTGCCAACGAGCCCGGATGTGTTTGTGCGTGTGCGCGGTGGGCAAATGTCTGCACGTCCCGACCGTGAAAGTCGATCCCGATTTCATTTGTTTTGCGTGAATTAACAGGCAACTTTCAAGCACGGCTTGAGCAAATGCAGAAAGAAAGTGGTACCCTGAAACTCGAAGTAAATCGCCGTCGGGAAATTGAAAGCACGCTGCAGGTGACCTATCCGTTCATTTTTTTTATTTAAAGCTTTCGTGACTGCAGCGATTCATATTCTTAGCTCTTTCGGTAAAGTCACCACGTTGAAGGGAAACAAAATAATAAAATATATTTAAAACAATAAAAATTCTCACGACGTTTCGACCATAACACAAACGGTCGTCATCAGGTGTGTCGGTTTGCATTAATTAATTTATTTTTAAACGGTGTTTAAACGGTGTTTTAAAAATAAATACATTAATGCAAACCGACACACCTGATGATGACCGTTTGTGTTATGGTCGAAACGTCGTGAGAATTTTTATTGTTTTATATATATTTTATTATTTTTATTGTTTCCCTTCAACGTGACTTTACCGAAAGAGCTAAGAATATGTATCCGTTCATATTTATTACATCGCTAATATTGTCTGCATTCCTTAACTGGATATTTTTAACGGAATGGTTTTCTTTTTGATTTAAAGCTTTGGTCACTGCAGGGATTCATATTCTTGGTTCTTTCGGGTAAAGTCGCCACGTAGAAAGGAAACAATAAAATAATAAAAATATACAACAATAAAATTCTCACGACGTTTCGACGGCAACTCAAGCAATCATCATCAGGTGTGAACACCACAGCAAGAAACATTTTTCACCGCCACTTATTCCAAATGTTCTTGCTGTGGTTTTCACACCTGATGATGATTGCTTGTGTTGCCGTCGAAACGTCGTGAGAATTTAATTGTTTGATATTTTAATCATTTTATAGTTTCCCTTCTACGTGGCGACTTTACCGAAAGAATCAAGAATAAGGAATGGTTTTCTCTTAGCCTTTTTGGAAAAGTCTCAAGCTTTTTTCACTGTATCTGAACAAATGCAGCGGGTCACCCGCCTCATCGATTTCATCATCGTACGGTCTGAATGCAGGCTGGGATGCAAAACGCGGAGAGAAGTTTTGCGGAGAAGGAGCGAGAGTTCACCGCAAGCACCGCGGGGCAGCGGCTGTCGTGCGACAAGCTGCAGCACGAACGTCGGGACCTGAACGTGATTGTGCAAAACCTGGAGAAGGCAAACGAAGAGTTGACAGCAGCAGCCAGCCAGAGGCAAGTGGTGAACTTTTACAACACGGAACGTGGCGCGTGCCGAGACATTAATCATCGATTTAAAGCGTTCGTGACTGCAAGGATTAATTGTATTAAATAATAAATTAATAAAATTAAATAACACGATAAAATTCTCACGACGTTTCGGCCACAACACAAGCGGCCTTCATCAGGTGAAGGGACGAGACTGCCTCAGCGCTCCAGCGCTGTCCTCCAGACATTCTCGTCCCTTCACCTGATGAAGGCCGCTTGTGTCGTGGCCCGAAATGTCGTGAGAATTTTATCGTGTCATTTTATCAATTTATTATTTTATTCTCAATCTACGTGATGGTGACTTTACCGAAAGAACCAAAGAAGATGTTAATTATCGTTGCGTCGCTATTGTCACGTACTACGCTGGTTGACGCAGGAAAGCACCACGGTGGTGTTCTTCACTCATTTTCAGAGGTGGCGGAGGGCGAGGGCGGGTCGGGGGGGGTGGGGCACGTCCGCCGATAAGACACGGTACAGCGTGAGGGCCGCCACACGTTTTAACACCGCTGGGTTTGACAGCAGCACACGAGGACGACGACGACGACGACGATGGGGAGGTGATTTCAGATCTGGGTATTGTCAGGGGCCGCACAAGAGGCCACCAGGGGCCGCTCGTGGCCCGCCGGCCTTGCAGTGAAGGACACTGCCCCGCAGTGTTCACGTTTAGAAGGGGGTCTGCAATTGTTTTGCAGTAGGGGGCGACAATTGCTTCGTGTTTCCCCCAATTAAGTTATTAGCGAGTTTTCAAGTTTGTGAATTTCAGACGTTGGGAGCTACTAAGGAGAAGGCGCTGCATTGCGTAGAACATCTCTGACTGTTGTGGTATCTGTAAAGCAAAACAAATACAGTACAGTTTAAATTTCCATTTAAAGCTTTCGTGACTGCAGGGATTCATATTCTTGGTTCTTTCGGTAAAGTCACCACCACGTAGAATGGAAATAAAATAATAAAAATAAAACATAAAATAAAATTCTCACGACGTTTCGGCCACAACACAAGTAGCCTTCCTCAGGTGAAGGAACAGAACTGTCGGGAAGACGGCGCTCGAGTGAACACTGCTAAGCTTGGCAGCGTCTTTTAAGCTGGGTGGGAGGAGCAGAGCCCCTTGACTAAGGAGTTTACATATCAACAGAAGGATTTAGCATTGAAGTAGCTAAGTTAATGTGTTGGATTAGCATGATGTTAATGTGAGGAATTAGCATGTAACTGGGAGATTAGCATGATGTTGATGTGAGGAATTAGCATGTAACTGGGAGATTAGCAGGATGTTAATGTGAGGAATTAGCATGTAACTGGGAGATTAGCATGATGTTGATGTGAGGAATTAGCATGTAACTGGGAGATTAGCAGAATGTTAACGTGAGGGATCAGCATGTGACTGGTCACGGAAGTAGCTATGTTAAAGTCCGAGTTTACATATCAACATAAGGATTTAGCATTGATGTAGCTGTGTTAATGTGTTGGATTAGCAGGATGTTAAAGTCAGAAATTAGCATGTAACTGGGAGATTAGCATGATGTTAGTGTGAGGGATCAGCATGTGACTGGTCACGGAAGTAGCTATGTTAAAGTCAGAGTTTACATATCAACAGAAGGATTTAGCATTGAAGTAGCTAAGTTAATGTGTTGGATTAGCATGATGTTGATGTGAGGAATTAGCATGTAACTGGGAGATTAGCAGGATGTTAATGTGAGGAATTAGCATGTAACTGGGAGATTAGCATGATGTTGATGTGAGGAATTAGCATGTAACTGGGAGATTAGCAGAATGTTAACGTGAGGGATCAGCATGTGACTGGTCACGGAAGTAGCTATGTTAAAGTCCGAGTTTACATATCAACATAAGGATTTAGCATTGATGTAGCTGTGTTAATGTGTTGGATTAGCAGGATGTTAAAGTCAACAAATTAGAATGTAACTGGGAGATTAGCATGATGTTAGTGTGAGGGATCAGCATGTGACTGGTCACGGAAGTAGCTATGTTAAAGTCAGAGTTTACATATCAACAGAAGGATTTAGCATTGAAGTAGCTGTGTTAATGTGTTGGATTAGCAGGGTGTTAAAGTCCGAGTTTACATATCAACAGAATAATTTAGCATTGAAATAGCTGTGTTAATGTGTTGGATTAGCAGGATGTTAAAGGCAGAATGTTAGTGTGAGGGATTAGCATGCCGGTTTATTTTTTCCTTGTTTCAACGTTAGCACCACGGAAAGCGACGAGCTTTGTTCAGACGGACGAGTCCATCATTGTTCGGAACGGAGGAGGGGGGAGAGGGAGAAGCAGCCACGATGCGCTGGGTCTGCAATTATTTTGCAGTAGGGGGCGACAGTTGCTTCGTGTTTCCCCCAATTAAGTTATTAGCGAGTTTTCAAGTTTGTGAATTTCAGACGTTGGGAGCTACTAAGGAGAAGGCGCTGCATTGCGTAGAACATCTCTGACTGTTGTTGTATCTGTAAAGCAAAACAAATACAGTACAGTTTAAATTTTTATTTAAAGCTTTCGTGACTGCAGCGATTTATATTCTTGGTTCTTTCGGTAAAGTCACCACGTAGAAGGGAAACACTAAAATAATAAAAATATAAAACAATTAAATTCTCACGACGTTTCGACTGCAACGCAAGCAATCATCGTCAGGTGTGAAAACCACTGCAAGAAAATTTTCTTGATATGTGGTTTTCACACGTGAGAATTTTATCGTTTTATATTTTTATTATTTTATTGTTTCCCTTCTACGTGGTGACTTTACCGAAAGAACCAATAATAGAGTACAGTTTGTTTACCGATGCAGTTTTCTGCATCGTTTAATCTGGCTTCTGCCGCACATCACGAACACAACGTCCGCGTGACGATTATCCGAACCGGTCCCGGGCCTCCACTCAACTCGGCCTCAAATGAGTACCCTGGTGCGGTGTGTGAACATTGCCACTGGGGAGACAAAGGCGGCCGGGCGTGGTGCTGGCCACCCACCCCCTCGTGTACCGTGCCGGCCTTAACAATGATGCTCGCGAGCAGCACTTGACCCAACAGTCTGTTAAGGCTACACGGGGACGATTTTCGTCTTGCATTGATTGTGTGCTGCGTTGCGTATGACATTTTTTTTAACAATTAAATGAGGCAGATGTCTTGTTATGTTTTTTTTTTTATCAGGCGCAGCGAAGAAGCTGAGATTCGTAGCAGGCTTGAAAGAAATATTCGTGAAAAAAATACAGAAATAGGTAGGCAACGTTTTGAGAGTGTCAGTGACCATTGCGAGTGTTAATTATTTATCGCACGTGTGACATTTGACCTCTATCAGGAGTGTACATTGTTAACGTCTGTTTAATATATTTTCATCGTTGTCCAACGTTTATTGGTAATCCTTAATTAATATTATCACTCGATTAATATTTTTAGGTAATTTGAAGATTGCAAGCGACAATAACGACATGAAACATCGCGAAACGCTGGTGAGCACATTTCAATGTCGTCTATCGCAATATCAGCCAGAAGAGCGGACGACGTTCAACGTCGCGATTGTAGTTCACAAGTTCATTAGCCAAGTAAAGCCCAATGAGCCAAAAAAGCTCTTTGTCAATGGTGGCTCAGCAAATCATTCTATTTGAACAATTACACAGGTTCACATTTTTAAAATAAATCAATTAGATTGTACTATTTACATTCACATTTGAAACTTTTGTGATCTTAACAGTCGGTTTAGGTGAGGACAGAGATGACAGAGTGAAGGTGCTAAGAGACGATGCTAGATGGTTCCAAAGCTTTGTAGCAGCTACATTAAATGATTTCGATTTATCTTCCCACCCGCCCCACTTCTCTGAAATGGTTCAATTGCGTTGGGATTGTTTTCCGCCAGCGAAGTCACCTGCTTGAGCAAGCTATGCAGCGTTGCCGTATTGGGGCTCGCACTTTGTTACCCAAAAAAAAACACAATCGCTTTTCGATTTATAATAATAGGGTTTTTCCCCTTTTTTCTGGCAATAAAACTGAAACCTTTTTACGAGGATTCACGTCACTGCAATAACCACAATACCTGCAGTCAAAATGCAAACAAAAAACCTACTATGATAATATATATGTGGCATTGTCCTTGAAACTGATTGGTCCACACCAAGGGACGGCTTTCTTTTGAGCCTCGACCCAATTGGTGCTCGACAAGATGACGCCAAAAGGCGTACATTGTCTTTGAGCTGTGTGACGCCTTTTGGCGTGGACCAATCAGTTTCAAGGACAATGCCACATATATTATCATAGTAGGTTTTTTGTTTGAATTTTGACTGCAGGTATATTGTGGTCAATGCAGCGACGTGACTCCTCGTAAAAAAAGGTTTCAGTTTTGTTGCCAAAAAAAGGGGGAAAACCCCTCTATTATTATATTTTGGCACTGGCAAAGGAGGTCCAATGATGTAGATGCTCACCCCGAGCCCTCATTACCTGGATAGTGCATTGTCTTTGAGCTGTGTGACGCCTTTTGGCGTCATGTGGTCTAGCACCAATTGGGTCGAGGCTCAAAAGAAAGCCGTCCCTAGGTGTGGACCAATCAGTTTCAAGGACAATGCCACATATATATTATCATAGTAGGTTTTTTTGTTTGCGTTTTGACTGCAGGTATTGTGGTCGATGCAGCGACATGAATCCTTGTATAAAAAGGTTTCAGTTTTGTTGCCAGAAAAAAGGGGGAAAACCCCTATTATATTATTATATTTTGGCACTGGCAAAGGAGGTCTAACGGTGCTTTTCGATTTTATCAAACACGGAACGCCGGCCACTGCGTCGGTCTCCGTCGCTGTGCTCGCAACGGCCTTTGGGTCGCGTCCCAATATTTTTTGTTTTGCTTGGCAAGGCGTTTCACGTTGAGCTCCTGAGAGGCTCGGGGAGCACGTGGGGGGGGGGGGAGGGGGGAGAGAAAGGGAACGTTCAGACGGCATCCGAGAGCATTTACATTATGAGACCTCCTTTGCCAGTAACAAGATATAGTAATAGGTTCTACCCTTTTAAACTGGCACGAAAAACTGACACCTTTATTCAAGGCATCATGTCTGCAATAACCACAACACAAGCAGTCAAAATGCAAACAAAAGAGACAACTCTGATAATAATATTGGCACTGTCCTTGAATTTGAGTTTTTTGTGCCAGTTAAAAGGGTAAAAACCTATTCCTATATCTTGTTACTGGCAAAGGAGGTCTCATAATGTAAATGCTCACCCCGAGCCCTCAATACTCTGATAGTGCGTTGTTTTTGAGTTGTACGCCTTTTGGCATCTTCTGGTCCAACACCAGTGGAGACTAGGCTCTAAGAAAAGCCGTCTCGGGTGTGGACCAATCAAATTCAAGGACAGTGCCAATATCGTTATCAGAGTTGTCTTTTTGCTTGCATTTTGACTGCTTGTGTTGCGGTTATTGCAGACATGATGCCTTGAATAAAGGTGTCAGTTTTTGGTGCCAGTTAAAAGGGTAAAAACCTATTCCTATATCTTGTTACTGGCAAAGGAGGTCTCATAATGTAAATGCTCACCCCGAGCCCTCAATACTCTGATAGTGCGCTGTTTTTGAGTTGTACGCCTTTTGGCGTCTTCTGGTCCAACACCAGTGGAGACTAGGCTCTAAGAAAAGCCGTCTCGGGTGTGGACCAATCAAATTCAAGGACAGTGCCAATATCATTATCAGAGTTGTCTCTTTTTTGCTTGCATTTTGACTGCTTGTGTTGCGGTTATTGCAGACATGATGCCTTGAATAAAGGTGTCAGTTTTTGGTGCCAGTTAAAAGGGTAAAACCTATCGCTACGGCATCCGAGAGCTTACGCCCACCGTGGTGCAATAAACACATCTTGGGGTATCGTAGGAAGTGTTGGTCTCGTGTCGTGTCTTGCGTGAAGGAATCCTTAGACGCGTTCAAACGAGAGAGAGCTTCACTCCAAGAAGCCGTCTGTCAAATGGAACAGCGGATAGCCGCCATGGAAACGCTGAAAAACGAAAGCAAGGTATTTCGAACGTTTCTTAAATCTACGGGTAAAATAATAACCCGCGCAACACTTCCCTGTGAGCGTTATCGTTTGCAAACGCGTGTTAGAATTGCGTCAATTGTCGTCGCTGCGGATGCTCTTTTTTGCGCGCACAAATGTGGCAATTCGCGTCGCCCGGCGCCGCATCTTGGGGCGTCGTTTACCTTCCAGAGCGAACTCAACGGAGCGAAAGCAAAAGAGCGCGTCTTGGAGAATGACCTCAGAGACGCCTTGAACGCGGTGAACGTCCTGGAATCAGAGCTGTCTCAGGAGAGGTAAATGTTGGAGCGTTATTTTTCAGCTCGCTCATTCGGGCGCATTTAGGCGTTCCCCTCCTCCTCCCCCTTCGCCCTCTCTCCCTTTTATCGTTTCAACCCCCGGCCGTCCTTCCCCCGAGAGCGGTGTCTCTTCACCTTGACCGCAGCCTGCCACCCCTTGTGGCTCTCAGCCGTTAACAACGTCGTACAACGTCGATACGGTAGAAACCGTGGGATCGCGAGCTCGATTCGTTCCGGAAACGTGTTTTGTAATCCAAAGCACTCGCGTATAATCAGAGCACTCGGTACATCAGTTGTGATCACGTGACGCCCGGCAGTACAAAGCGTGTCTACACGTGCGCTGCGCGTATTGCGAGAACCTCGCTCGTTTATCAAGTTAATATTTATTTACAAATGTAGCCCGTCTCGCCAAACACTCGCAGGCCAAGTTACTCGCAATCCAAGGTTTTACTGTACACAGCAACTCCTCTGCACCCCCTGTGGGACGTAAGGCCACAATAAATACACAGGGGTTGATGAAACAAAGTAGTTGTACTAACGTATCCACGCTAAATTTGCGTTTTGTTTTTTCACCTTCTAAAGAAAACAAATCTGGCCGTGTCTCGCACCCCCCCAGAAAGGGAATCTCGCACCCTCAGGTTGTGAAGAGCCACTGCCCTACAGGGTTATCCGAGTTAAGGAAGTAGACACCAGGGAAGTAGAGTTTATTTAAACACATGGCATCGACGGGTTAAAGATATAAAACGCCGGTGAATAATCGGCGTGCTTGACAGGTGTCAAGTCCCAGGCAATGTCGTCTGTCTGTGTGTGTGTGTGTACCTTAAGCGTACACACACACACACAGACAGACGACATTACATACAGACACTTACATACAGACTCTTACATAAAGACACTTACATACGGACAATTACATACAGACACTAAGACACTTACATACAGACACTTACATACAGACACTTACATACAGACACTGAGACACTTACATAGACACTTACATACAGACACTTACATACAGACACTTACATACTGACACAAACAGACACTGAGACACTTACATACAGACACTTACATAAAGACATTTACATACAGATACTGAGACACTTACATACAAACACTTACATACAGACACTTACATACAGACACTTATATACAGACACTTACATACAGACAGTTACATACAGACACTTACATACAGACACTTACATACAGACACTGAAACACTTAAATAGACACTTACATACAGAAACTTACATACACTTACATACAGACACTGAGACACTTACATACAGACACTTACATACAGACACTTACATACACTTACATACAGACACTGAGACACTTACATACAGACACTTACATACAGACACTTAAATACAGACACTGAGACACTTACATAGACACATACAGACGCTTACATACAGACACTTACATACAGACACTGAGACACTTACATACAGACACTTACATACAGACACTGTGACACTGACATACAGACACTTACATACAGACACTTACATTGAGACACTTACATACAGAAACTTACATACAGACACTGAGACACTTACATAGAGACACTACTTACAGACACTTACATACAGAAGCTTACATACAGACACTTACATACAGACACTGAGACACTTACATACAGACACTTACATACAGACACTGAGACACTTACATACAGACACTTACATACAGGCACTTATATACAGACACTTACATACAGACACTTACAAACAGGCACTTACATACAGACACTTACATACAGACACTTACAAACATACACTTACATACAGAAACTTACATACAGACACTTAGATACAGATACTTACATACAGACACTTACAGACACTTACATACAGCCACTTACATACAGACGCTTACATACAGACACTTACATACAGACACTTACATACAGACACAGACACTTACATACAGACACTTACATACAGACACTAAGACACTTACATACAACAACAACAACCGCCATTCGCCACTAAGTGGCGGTGACGTCACCACGACGCTTGTGCCAGGCTATGTGCACCCTGAGGCCACGTGAAGTGTCGAACGCCCGCTGGCAGGAGGTCACGGGGCAGACCCAGGTGCCACGGGTCGACTGACTGAGATGACTGGCTGATGCACCACCTGTGCCCCCTACTGTGCCAACCTGCTGTGCTTTAGCCACCCGGCGCTCCGCTCGCTGTTGTGAGCGTCGCTCCTCCGCCCTCCGTTGTTGTTGGAGGGCGACTGCCTCCAACTGCCCAGTAGCATCCTTCACGAGCCTCCTCCACAGAGGCCGATCTTGACACCGCTGGTACCAGTCATCGGCAAGTCCACTCAGCTCCACGTCCTCCTGTACCACATCACTCCATCTCTTCTCTAGCCCGTGCCGCGCCCGCTTAGCCCCCTCAATCCGGCCAAACAAAAGCTGTTTCGGCATGCGGTGGCTGGGCATGCGGGCTACATGACCCAGCCATCGCAGCCTTGCCTGCCGGAGGAGCTCACCGATGGGACCCTGCCCAGATCTTTCAAGGATTTGTGAGCTCCTCACACAATCCAGTCTGGTTAAACCCAGGATGGATCGTAGGCAGGTCAGCCTAAATGTTTCCAAACCGGCGAAGATGTTCCATTAGGGGGGTCCACGTTTCGCAAGCGTAGAGAAGGGAGGGAATGACCGTGGCCGAGAAGACCTGAAGCTTAGTGCGGAGCGACAGACCAGGTAGCTTCCACACAGCGTTACGCAACCGATGAAAAGATATTGCCGCTCGACTGATTCGGAGTGAGACCTCTGCTGTTAAACTGGAGCCAGTCATAAGCACACTGCCCAGGTATGGGAAACTCTCCACTCTCTCCACAACTGCCCCATCACCGATTGGGAGTTGTGGGGGTGGAGTGTCCGATGGTACAAAATACCCAGGCAGGTGCTTAGTTTTGGTGGGGCTGATGGTAAGGCCCCACCTCTTAGTGGCACGCTCCAGTCTCAGCAGCAGCGTCTCCAACTCCTCCTCTGACTGAGCAGCTATTACCAAGTCATCAGCATACATAACGTGGTTGAGCAATAGGGAGCCATCCCTTGACCGCACCCGGGCATCGATTAGCCTCCCATTATATCTGTACCATATGGAGATTCCCCCGGTACAGCTATTGAAGGCTTCACGAACTACGTGGTCAAAATAGATGTTAAATAATGTGGGAGCCAGAGGACATCCCTGTCGCACCCCAAGGTGTACAGGGAATGGCTCTGACTCCCGGCCACGTAGTTTTACCCGGGCCCGCTCACCATCATGAAGGTCCTTAATGATCGTGAGCAGAGGGTCAGGTACTCCAAAAGCACGAAGAACGACCCAGAGCCCAGGCCTACTGATGGTATCATAGGCCTTGACCAGGTCAATAAAGCAGAGATGTAGGTCTTGTTGGAATTCCCTACACCTCTGCTGTAGCAGACGGACAGAAAATATGGCATCTGTGCAGGACCGCCCTTTCCTGAAACCGCATTGGGGCTCCGCAAGCCTCTCCTCAGCGTGCCTGGCAAGGCGATGCTGAATAATCCTTGCCAGGACCTTTCCCGGCACACTGAGGAGTGAGATGCCCCTGTAGTTGTTACAGTCTGTGCGGTCCCCCTTCTTAAAAAGGGGGACCACCAGGGCATCCTTCCAATCCTGCGGAACCCGTCCAGTGGTCCAGACTGTTGTTATGATGTCATATAGGGCAGTCTGTGCACAAACGCCACCCTCCCTCAGCATTTCGCTTGGGAGATCATCTCTGCCCGCTGCCTTTCCTGGTCTCAGACTCCGGATCGCCTTCAATACTTCCTCAGCAGATGGCACCTCAGCCAGCCACTCACAGGGGGTGACTTCATCCAATATTTGAGGCACCGCAGCCTCAGCAGGGTCATCCTCACTTTGTGCCACGATGTTTTCCTGGCTGTGGGATTTTCCCTCCCCCAGGACCTCACAGAAATGCTCAGCAAATCTGCGAACCTGTTCCTGGGGGTCGGAAATTGGATCACCGTTTTTTCCCCTAATGATGGTAATAGGTGTGGCGCTGCAGGTTACTTTTTTGATGGAGTTAAATAGCGATTTGTGATCACGGGCCACTGAGGCAGACTCCATCTCCTCAGCAACCCGCGACCACCACCCATCCTTGCAGCGCCTCACGGCTCTCCGAACCTCCGAGCGAAGGCTGCGGTAAGCCTCCTCATTCTCTGACGTGGGATTCTGTAGCCGATGACAGTGGGCCTGTCGCTTTTTCTCAACCATCCTGAACAACTCCTCTGTCATCCAGGGTGTCTGGGGAGGTCTGGACCGCGTACCCAAAGCAGCCATTGCAGCTGCATGAGTCACAGTCCTAAACCTCGCCCATTTACCCTCGACATCAGGAGGAGTCGGGGACGATGCCAATCCCAGCCGCAAGCGATGATGAAATTCTCGCTTGCAACTTTCATCAGATAACTGAGACCAGGCCACTTTAGGTTGGAATGGGGTCCTGGGTGTACACCCACCACCGGAGTGGAAGAATGGCAGGCGCATCTTACAGATGACTAGTCGATGGTCAGAGGGCAGATCAGCTCCACGGTAGGTCCTGGTGTCAAGGACATGGGCTCGCATTCGCTGGTCCGTCACTATGTAGTCCAGCAGATGTTCTTGCTTGGACCCGGCATGCATCCATGATGTTGTGTGGATGCGCCGATGCCGGAACAGCGTGTTGGTAATTACAAGCCCATGGGCTGCACAAAAATCTAGCAGCCTCCTACCGTTGTTATTGAGCTGATCTGGCCCATGCCCTCCAATCACTCCAGACCAGGTGCCAGTATCATGACCAACTCGGGCATTGAAGTCACCCAACATGATGACTCTATCCCGAGGGGCCACTTTAGCCAGCACCTGTGACAGGAGGTCATAGAAGGCATCTGACTCATCGGCTTTGCCTGCATCCCTCCACGGATGTTCATCTTCGGTGGGGGCATAAGTAACCACGACCACCATTCCTCGCCTCCGGTTGATGGGAAGGCGAGCCCAAAGTAGCCTGGGGCTTACAGCTTCCCACACCTCACCGCCACGCTCCCACGCCCCCTTCATTCTTTTGTTCAAAAGAAGACCCACACCCTGTTGTTTGGCAGTCTGCTGCCCCGAGTAGAGGACTGTCCACCCCTCATGGTGGCAGGAGCCAGAGCCGGTCCACCGGACCTCCTGAATGCCGCATAGATCCAGGCGGTACCGGTCCAGCTCCCGACAGAGGAGTGGCAGCCTCTCCTCTGCAGTGAGCGTTCGAACATTCCACGTGGCCACCCGTAGTGGCTTTTCGTTGTTTCTGGAGTAGCCCCGAGGGTAGGTATTCAATCTCCTGGCTCCGCCAATTGGGGTTTGGCCAGGAGACGTCATAGACGCCTGGCCCCCCGGGGCCTCCGGCACAAGCTTAGTTGTTACATATTTCACTTTAATTCGTGGTTTTGTGGTAATTAATTGAAGGTGGAGGGGTTACCAGCCCCTCGCACCCGTCCAGAGCCCCCGTTTAGCCCCTGTGGTGGACACATATGCCATGAGGGGAGGAGCCAATCAAAATTGGAACTCCCCCCACAGCACTGTCCACGACAGAGTTGCCCGTCCGGCACCGCGAGGAGGTAGGGGGTTGTTTTGCCGGACTTACATACAGACACTTACACACAGACATTTACATACAGATACTTACATACAGACACTTACATACAGACACTTACATACAGACACTTACATACAGACACTTACATATAGACACTTACATACAGACCCTTACATACAGA